TTGCACTGACAATGAGAAAAGTTGGAAGGAGTCGTGGTTTTTGGCTATCAGCGATGAGTCCTCATCGCTTGAGAAAACCCCTTCCAATTCCGGCAAAGTCACACCACAAGAAGCTGAAGAAGACGAGGTAAAGCCATCGTTGTCGAAGGAGGCACAAAATAAGATTGATACCGCAATGAAGGCCGATCTTGCAGAACACCAATTGGTTTCCTGATGTGTACACTAAATCACCATTCTCGATAGACAGTTTTTTATGGCGTTTTGGATTCTATAAATGAAAGCAATCTTCTGGGCGGTACTTGGCCATTACTTGATACATCCTCTTTAAGTGACATTGGCTTGTACTTAGAATGATCCGATTGTGGATGTTTTACAGCCGGTTGATCCTGCATACTTTGACAAAATAGGTGTAGCTTTTTGGGCTTCTTTTTCAATCCACCCACTAATTAAACTCTCACTACCTAAGCAATCGCTCCTTTTCTATCTTTTTTCTGACATGGTTGGCAATCGCGACACTCGTTCACCCTCCAAACGTCTCGACGGTGAAAATATTGGGCACCCGATCCCAAGCACTCGCCTGCACGAACTTGAAGCTAAGGACCGTCCACGGGATTGGAAATCTTGCTTAGATGTTAAAATCATCTATGTCAATCCATGTCATGCTTCGATGTTAAAATCAATAGAGAAATTTGCCGGCAAAAAAGAAAGAGTTCTTCAATCTTGGTGAATAAAACATGTGCAAGCTTACAGAGGTTAATATTTCTTCGCACCTGGTTTTTTTTTTTTTTTTTTTTTTTTTTTTTTTTTTTTTTTTTTTGCACCTGCTTCGCTTAATATTATTTTGTCCACTCTTTTTCAGCTATTTGCAGATATGCTTGTCCACAATTCTCGTGCTAAGGAAATGGCACCGAAGCTGAGGGAGGCTCTAGGCGCACTTGAGGATACAAAAGTGAAGGACGCATTTAGAACTCGTTCTAAAATAATTTTATTTTTTATATAAAAATAAATATAAAAATATTTTTAATTTCAGACATAAATTATTTTTAAAAATATGTTTGATAATTTTATCAATAGATTATTTTTAAGTATAAAAAAACTTATTATTGTCTCTATCTCTGCACGAGAGATGATAAAACAAAAATAAAAAATAAAAAATTCATTTCTCTCTCATTTTATACTAAATTAAAAAATTATTTTCATTTCTGTGTTTTGTCTTTATTACATCAAACGCAGTTTTGAAAATATTTTCATTTTTTTCTCAAAAAACGTGAAAAATAAAAACGGAATCAATTGCTGAAACTTCTTGAGTCGGAGCAATCTGTTGCGCTATTGCAAAGCACTTCAACTAAATGGGAGTCAAAATATAAGTCTCTTCTTGCTTCCTCAGAAAGTGATAAAGAGACTCTTGATAAAACCAAGTCTGCTCTGGAACATCATCAAAAAGCATTCAACGAGCCACATGTTCCACTTGAGCAAATGAAAAAAGAGTTGGAACTTGCTAAGATCCAATCTACTGCTGATCAAGTTAAGATCGCCGAGCGTTATAAAGAAATTGACGATGAATATTGGAAGGGTTTCTATGAGGCTAAGGACGCAATTGTTGATTACAATCCAAGAGTCAAGCTTAAATTAGTCATTTGATGTTGCAATAAAGGGTGCCTCTCGCTGCGGATCACCTGTTGTTCGAACTCCTTCCATCCCTTCCTCGCCTGCTGACAATCTTGAGTATGAAGGTGATCCTGAAATGATTAAACCTATCAAAGAAAGAGCTTCAAAGATCATTTGGTGTTGACCCTCGTTTTTTTTTTTAGATTTCTGTATTTGAGTTTGGATGGCCACCTCTTTTTCTAGACTTATCCTAAGACTGTCTTTTTTTTCCTGCATCAGATTAATCTTAAATTTATGACATTTTGTCATGCCATTCCTGTCACACACAGGGTTTTTTTGTTGTTGTTGTTGTTGTTCAGTTTTGCTTATTCGATTTTTCAAAATAAATATTTTTTTTATGTTTTCAGTCTTGCTGAACTTAGTTAATTCAGTTTTTCGGCTTAAAATTTTCTTGTGTCCCACTTGAGGTCGAGTTTTTCCTTAGCCAAAGTTTTTTTTTTCCTTCAGACAATGGTCGATGCCACTTCCATCTCCCCATTTTCTTTGTCATGTTAAAGAAGATGAGAAAGAAAATATTAAAAGAAGAAATTAGCAAACACTTTGACTTTATTTAGTAGTAATATTTTTTGCCCAAAAAACTTGGCATTACATCAAAGTATGAACACATAAAAAACTCAAGCTCCATAACTACTGATAATATTTCCTAAAGTGCTCAACATTCTAAGGATGAGTCAGCACCTTACCCCACTTGTCTTCGAGTTGATAAGTTCCAGGGCGAACCACTTTGACCACCTTATAAGGTCCCTCTCAATTCGACCCAAGCACTCTGTCACTTGGCCTTTTCGTGCTTTGATTGACTTTTTTGAGAACTAAGTCTCCTTTAAACTTTCGCACCTTAACCCTTGTATTGTAGTATCGGGCCGTTGCTTGTTGGTAGATAGCCGCTCGGATACTTGCTTGTGCTCTCTTTTCTTCCACAAGATCGAGATCAGTGAAAAGCTCCTCCTTATTCTTGTCTTTATCATAGGCCTCAACTCAATAGGTGGGCATTCCGACCTTTGTCGGGATAACTGATTCTACTCCATACGCCATGAAAAATAGTGTCTTGCCAGTAGAGGTCCTACTTGTAGTGCGATAAGCCCATAACACCATTGGTGGCTCCTCTACCAAGGTACTTTTTAGACTTTCCAATTTTTTTTTCAGGTTCTCCTTTATAGTTTTATTTACAACCTCAACTTGGCCATTGGCTTATGGATGCTCAGGAGAAGAGTAGTTCTTATAAATCCTCATCTGTTTACATATACTCTTTAATTCTTCATTATCAAATTGCCGAGCATTACCGGTGATGATCGAATGGGGTATTCCAAACTTGCATATAATTGACTTCCAAATAAAGTTTGTAACATTTTCTTCAGTGATGCGCGGCAACTCTTGTGCTTCCACCCACTCGGTAAAATAATCAATTGCAACAATGGCATATTTGAATCTTCCATTAGCGAGAGGGAGTGCACTGATGATATCAATTCCCCATATAGCAAAAGGCCACGGGCTTAAGACAAAGGTAAGAGGTTCTTCCGGTTGCTTTGGAATATGAGAGTAACACTGACACTTGTCGCAAATCTTGACTAACTCCATAGCATCTTTTAACATGGTGGGTCAATAATACCTCTGACGAAGCGCTTTCTGTGATAACGATCGACCACCTAAGTGGTTCCCACAAATCCGTTCGTGAATTTCTCTCATGACATAATTGACTTTGTCTTTGTCCAAACATCTCAAGTACCACCTGAGTGGTCCCCGTAAATCCCTTCGTGAATTTCTCTCATGACATAATTGACTTCGTCTTTGTCTAAACATCTCAAGTAGGGCTGGGAGTATCCACGTTTGTACAACTTCCCATTGATTATTAGGAACCGATTAGCAAGATATCTGAACCTCCTCGCGTCATTTTTCTCTGGGGGCAAATCCCCAGTTGACAAGTAGACGAATATAGGAGTGATCCATGAACCCGTGCCTTCAGAGTCCAGCATCTCAATAGGCACATTCCCGAGTTGTTCTTCATCTATTCCCGAGTTGTTCTTCATCTATTCCCAATGCCAATCGAGTAAGATTGTCTGCGTCCATATTCGCAAGATTGTCTGCCTCAAATTATCATGATAACAGGGAAAGCGGCATTGATGGGTATAGGTTATACAAGTTATATATGAATCTACCATGATCATAGGATACAAAGAAAAATCAAATAAATTAGACGCTTACAGTCTTATATGTTAATAGAGTATTGGACGTTTTAATACCATATTACTAAGAGTAACAAAATCATAGAAGAAAATTAAACAAACATAAATACACATTATTTATAATGGTTCTATCTTAATGTTAGAGCTACATCGGCTACATCTACTGTAGTAATTCCCAATAATAAAGAAGAACTTAATAAAAGAAAATCGAACACCTCCCAATCTCATTGTGTTTCTCCAACCTCTCTCATTATTCCTAAAGTCTGCATGACAACTGAGATTACAAGTATCAAATCCTGAAAGATGGCGTAAAGTAATAATTATGCTCCACAATTTAACATTTATTATCAACTTTATTTTTTCCTTTTCTTTTCTGTTTTGAGTTCTTTTTATCACGAGAAGAGGGAAGAGAAGCAGCTTTAGAACTAGACGAAGTAACTCTTTACCAGGAAGCAAGAACAATAAGTAGGGACTAGGGATACATATGATGTGACAACACAGTCCAATACTAATCTTATTTTAGGATTATGAAAATTTAATGAAAATAAAAACATTTACTTTAAAAAAAAAAAAAAAGGTCCCAGCTTGGGATTAGTATGAAGTTCCATTTGTTAACAACCAGAGAGTGGGACCTGACCATGGCAAATAATGCTGCTTATTGTATAACTAATCAATGCTTTTTTTTTTTCTTTTTATAATGATTGAGCTTCACTTCCAAGAGACACCAGCTGGGATATTGGCTTGCTTTGAAGCAAAAGCAATAACCCATTACATCAAAAGGAAGTTCTAACACAAATCCAAGAAAGAAAGACTCAAATGATGCCATCAGTTAGAGATAAAGACATCTGATCTCCATTCAGTATTTTACTTGAGAATTTTTTATTTTAATTTATTTTAATATTTGTAGCTCCTTATCCTAAATAGTTATGTCACCATTTTGTTTGCTTTCTTTTCTCTATTAGCACCTTAATATATTATATGACTTATCAGTTTCAGTTGTAATCCAGGAGCTATCTTTCTGGTTGCCTCTTGTTCACAAGCTTTTCAAAAATTTCTGCTCAGAACATGTCACAAAGAAGAAGATAAAATATCAAATCTGGCAAAGAAATGCAAAATGTGACTGTAAAAAAGTGAAAAATCGAGTAAGGGGAAATAACATTTAACTTGCATCATTTTATAAAGCCTTTATTCTAATCTCCTTTTTCTTCATGTGTGTTTTTTAAAAGTGATGTAACAACAATTTTATCAATCACATGAGCTCACTTTACATCCTACAAGCAAAACTTGTAACATTCTTTGCATGTAACAACAGTATTTGAACATGTGACAAACCCGGTACTCGGATTCCGTCAGAGAAGTTCTCAGATCATGCAAAATCTCCAAGACCATCATTAAAATGACCTATATTTCAAATCTTATAAATCAATTCTGCAAAAAATAATTGAGCCTTCCAATTTCCATCTCTTCAACAGTCAGACATTGAACCGGAACAACATCACATCTCCTTCTTGTACGACATAATCTTTACCCTCGGATCTCAACTGCAAGCCAGCAAAGTGAAGTAGCTAATGTTCAGGTGTTCGATTATAAAGTCACATTTTCTCATCTAAAAGTAGTACCTAGAAAGGAAACCTGTCATAGTGATATCTGAGTTCTATGTGAGTGTGGGGTCGTGTTTTTGTGTAAAGTTATGTCTGGGTTCTTTTTTTTTTTTTTCTCCCTTATTTCCCCACCAATCATATCTAAGTTTATGTGAAAATTAGTTAAGGCAGTTAATTTTTGATGTGTCAAGGTTGGTGATCATCTAAGAGCTGTTTGTAAAACCATCTTTACAAGAAAAATAAAAACCAAAGCCAGCAGTTAATGAAGTCGGAATCTTACAAGTCCTTTCTCTCTTGCTGCAGCAAGTGACCCAGCCGCAATGAAATCATCATATGACACCTGATAAGGAAAATTCACACAATCATCAGAAACAAGCATTGGCCAAAACATTAAAGGGTTAAGAAAGGTTGTTGGTTCTTATTAGAACAATGCTAGATGCTCATAACTACTTGAACCAAATTTATGCCTACAAAGTCTTAAGTTTGCCGAGCTACATCACACAAAAAGTTTGCCTATGTTATCAACAGTATAACCATTCCTTTGAATTAAAATGAGCTAAAAAAAAAGGGGGAAGAAGAAATTCAAAATTATTTCTTAAATATGTGCGTGAATATTAAAAATTTTCTATTCCATGGATGTCTAGATAATGCAAAACTATACCAAGGAAAACGATAAGCATCTAAGACTAGTTAACAGCCAAAAACGACGCCCAGCATTTTTGCATGCTCCAACTAGTATTAGTTTCTCAAACATGCTTTTCTTCCTCTCGTAATATTACACCTTCCATTTTCTTTGCTCTTCGAATAACTTCCCACCGTATCTCATATGAACAGAATTTTTTTTTTTTTTTTGCTCCTCGCAGATAACTTATCATTTAAAGTTGACAAAATTGTCATTTAAAGTTCAAAACATGCAACAAAAGGAAAAGAATATTCTTCACTCAGAATTTAATAAAAATTAGGCTAGTGTTGCTTACCGTCTCAGCTCGAATGAAACCTTTCTCAAAGTCGGAGTGGATGACTCCAGCTGCTTGAGGTGCAGTCATCCCTAATTTCACCAACATGAGAAGAAAAATAAAATAATTAGAAAAAATTGATAGGATGAACAGGTGGTCCATCATATTCTCTAATCTCCCTCAGATTTACTTTACAGGAATGTTGGATATCACTTATCATATCCAAGAGAAAGAAAGTGGTGCCAAACAAAGTTGCTAAATCTTAGCTCCAATTACTAGCTGACATTAGCATGACATCATGAAATGTTTTTACAGAAAATAGTCTTCTCAGTTGACACCATGAATTTTTTTATAGAAAATATATTCTTCTTAGTTGATTCAAAACAAAGCACAAAATGAATAGGACGAGAAGTCCTCAAAAAACATGTCAAATTTTGAGCTAGCATAACTGAAGCTAACCTGCAAGAATGGTCCATGCTTTTGTTTCCTGCATGTAAAAAGAACAATCTATTTAACGTAAGAAAGAAATAATGAAAATTCAAGAGAAATATATCAGGATCTCATCTTCACCTTCTCGCCAGAAGTGAAGTAAGTTCGAAGCCCTAAAAGGCTATATGTAGCTCTGATAAGGTTTCCAAGGCCACTTTCATCAACACCTAGAGATTTCAAATATTCTGTTCTTTCCTCAGGAGGAAGCTCTGTTAGCTCAGACTCAACCTGCAATTACAATTACAATTACAATATCATTCATGCTTCTCATTTAAGATTAACTTTAACAAACATGTTAAAGTTAAATATTGTCGTTTTGGCAGAAAACATGACTCCAGCACATTTTTCTTGAAGAGCAAGATGAGTACATGCTAACCATCACATCTGCTACTTTAGATCGCTAAACGTCTTTTTGAGATGAATTTCCAAACCTGTGCGGAAACAGTGACTAGTCCAGATCGCAACTCTGTTGCGAGATTCATGACTTCTCTGACATAAGGATTAGTTCCAGGATCAGACACATCAGATTCCGCTACATTAGCTACATATATAACAGGTTTCATTGTGAGCAAGCAAAGATGCTTTACAGCCTCTTTTTCAAAATCTGTTAAAGTAACTGATCGTGCTGGTTTGCCATCCATAAGCGCTTGCTGAATTCTCTCCAAGGCAGATCTTTCTGCATCCTCCTGGAAAAGAAAAGGAGAAAAACAAAAGTAGTGTTTAACTTCAAAACTAGCCTAAGCACTAAAACATTAAAAGGATTTAGTCAGTACCGTGGATAGAGATTGAAGGTCAATCATATGCTAAATACTTACCTTAACTTTTGATTGTGAGTCCTTTCCCTTGCTTTTCTTGAGTTTTTCCATTCTTTTCTCAATCTGCATTCTTGGAAAAGGTAAAATTTAGTTTAATCAGTTCATCAGATCCTTAAAAAAAAAAAAATGAAATGGTGCTAAGAAAACAACAAATATGGTTATACATTATAGGTTAAAGTTCAAGAAATGTAGTTTAAAACTAACAAATGCTTCCGAAGTGTTAAACATATCAACAAGAATGGGGAACAGAAAATCCAATCATACCAGGGCTCATTACTGTCTGTACTGGAAAAATAGCTTTTCATGGGATAAGCATATCTGAATCTCAAGTCCACACATTTAGGATTTATAACATATCATTATGTATTTTGTATTGTTGATCAAAAAAGTTACGACAGATGAAATCATCTTATGGCACTCACTTCATATCAAATTAATACATTCGATGTGCAAGCTGAGCAACAATGAAGTTTAGTTTAAGAATAGCTGTACCAAACAAGTTTTACATAACAAACCTGGTCGAGATCTGAGAAAACAAGCTCTAAGTTGATAACATCAATGTCAGACTTAGGATCAACTTTTCCATTAACATGAATGACATCATTATCTTCAAAGCATCGAACAACCTGTAACAACAATTAATTGGCCCTTGATAACATGGATTCAAAAAAGAAAAGCTCAAAACCACTAGAACATCTCTTTAACGAGTATACCTAGGGAAAAAATAACTAAAAGAATTAATTTTCCATAAGAATAAATCATGTGTCATTTCCTTTCTCCTACTAAGGAGCAAAATGGTTGTGAAGTAATAAGAGTAGCCTCTCCTATATTTTATATGAAATCTCTCTACAACAAGAGACCACAAGTACTAACAGACAGATAAAGATCACTATAATGAACTCTTTAGAAACAAAAATAAGGACAGTATCTACAAATGAATATCATGGACAAGTACCTGAAGTATCGAGTCCACTTCACGAATATGTGATAAAAATTTATTGCCTAAGCCCTGCATATTGAGAAGGAGAAATAGACTCAGACCAACCGCCATAACATGCTCTTGCCACAAAACTTGAGAGAAGAAGGGAAAAAGAAATAATAAATCTGTCCTCAAGTAACGAAATAAACTAGACTGGCAGAGAAATCTTACCTCTCCTTGACTAGCACCCTTCACAAGCCCAGCAATATCCACAAATTCTATAGAAGCTGGAACTGCTCTCTGAGATTTGCTTAGATCCGAAAGCACATTCAGACGTGGATCCGGAACCGCAACAATTCCCACATTTGGCTCAATTGTACAAAATGGAAAATTGGCAGCTTGAGCCTTCCCATTCTCCACCTGCACAGTGTGAAATCATACCACTTTAGTACAAGCCTAACACTGTACTAGTGATAAGTAAACCCAAAAACTTCCAACTAGATTCGTATTACACCAACTAGGCTTCCTAAGATACGCCTAAAGGTCAAAAAAATCAGTGTATAATATAACCATGTAGGCATGTTTCAGTTTTAGAATTTTGTGAATTACATGCTAAATATGCTAGAATGGAAATCCACCCAGATGAGCAAAGATATTGTATAAATCATACATTCCTCCACATAGACTACAACTATAAGTCATCCACATAATTGAATTTCCAGAATTTTAAATCTTACAGAAACTTGCACACTATTTCTGGACCATACAAATAAGAAATGCCTAAAAGTTATAATATGCCGTTGCATATAACCCACCAGAATTTGTTGCCTTGTAAATATATATAGAGAGATTAGAACTTTGTAAACTACATCCTAAATGTACCACAACGAAAATTGAAAACACACCCAACTTAGAATTTTTTTAAAAAGAAAAGAAAAAACACAAATAAAATCATCTAGACCTTTATAAGTCCAAAAATTTTTTATTAGAGTTACTCTAAAAAAGTGAGTTCATAGTTCTAAGTAACTTCTCAATCAATAAACATATACCATTCGAATAGAGGAAAAAAATAAATAAATAACATACGACGGCATTGAAGAGAGTGGATTTTCCGACATTAGGGAGGCCAACAATGCCGGCTCTGAGGCTCATGCTTATCCTCGAAGATGAAGAAGAAGAAGAAAATGGCCGTCCTTTTCCGAAGCCGCCATTGACAATTCCCACCATGAGCTGCTGGTAAGGACTTGCGCGCTGCTTCAGTGGAAGGAGCATAGATGGCATCAGTTGACTGCAAGCCATTATTCTCGCCATTTTTTGTGGGTTTTGAGCTCCAGATTGAGAGCTCAAAAACAGAGAGATTTGGGACCAACTTGAACAAATTTTGCGGTAAACTTGCATACAACGATATCGTATGGACCTTCACGGTGTTTTTCTACCTCTCACTCTCTCTCTTGTTTCTCTGTCGTTTCTGCTAACTTTTTTTTAAGTTAAATTAAATATATATGATTTTTAAAAGCTCAATTTTGTTAAATAAACATTTTTTTGTTTTATTAAACGTGTTTATATAGCTAAAAAAGCTATAATTTTGTTAATTTTTATTTAAATATGTCTAGATTTTTCTGTTTTGTAGAATAAAATTATTTTTTTCTTCATATTTTCTTTAAGTTGTGTCTTAAAAAATAAAGAAGAGTATTATTTTTCTCTTTTAATAAGGCTGATTGGGTTTAGTGGTGTGGCTCTCAAATTTAAGATAATTAATTTGAGAAATGTATTATTAGGAAAAGGAAAAAGGAAGCGAAATGATCGAAAAAGAAAAATCAGTACGTGTCACTTGAACGAAGTCATACGCCGTCGTTTGGAGGTAAGAAACGACAAGACATTTGTTATTTGGGAGAATATTCATTAAAAATTATTGAGACAAATTCGTTTATCGATAAACGACATCTTTCTTTTTTATATAAATTTTCCTGCCGTTTATTGGGAAACACCAGAGGTGGTTTGTGATATCAAATTATGTTAATAGTTATTGTAATCATAACCTACTAAGTTTGTTTTTATGCTAAAGCGTGGATGGAATATTAGTTTTCGTTGGATAAGATTTTTTCTTTTCTCCTTTTTTTCTTATTTCGAGATGGTTAGAATAAGTTGTACAATTATACCCATTTTTTCTTTTGTTATGTTGTCTAGACAAAAGCATCGTTGCAAAGTGATGTCGTTTTTATTATGGCGTTCTTTCTTGTCGTTCCTTTATTGATGTAGTTTTCTCAGTGATGTGGGTCGTTTGTAGTCGTTTTCTATGTTGATATCTATATCGTCGTTGTCACTTTTTTTGGTCATGGCTGCTTTTTCCATTATTGTCATTTTTACATGAATCTACTACATTTTTGTTTTCTCGCTTTAAACTGGTGTCGTTTTCTTGATGAAGTCGGATTATTCATAGTCTTTTCTATATTGATGTCCTTCCTCATCGTTGTCACTTTTTTTGGATCATGGTTGTTGTTTTCCAATTATTGTCGTTTCCCAGTAATGTCTTATTGTCGTTTTTCTACGTGGATAACGTTTTTCGTCGTTGTCGTTTTCTTAGGCAGTTATTGTTGAAATTACTCGTCCTTTTAGGTTATTGTCGTTTCTTTGAACCATCCTTTCTCTGGTCATAGTTAGTTTGCACACAAACGTTACTATTGCTGACTACAAAAGAATGTCGTTTTAATTCTAAATTTGTTGCCTTGTATGGTAACAAAGACTTGTCGTTTTTCTTTTGGAATTTCACCTTACAACGATATGTCGTTTATTATTTTTTGTTTTTCTGTTATTGCAATTAGATTCCGCCAATAAATTCATTACATGATTTCAGCCAACATATATTCCTTCCACGTTGAATTTGTCTATTTGTAAGCATAATTTATCAAGAATTTAAAATCATAAAGTACATACTATATTCCTCCACTGTCTTCCATATTACAATTTCCATCCTCATGAACCCATCTTACATCACTCTCATGACGCAATTTTCTAGACCAAATACTACTTTGTTGGTCCCAATTTCAAGGCATATTCCCAATCTCAACTTGTTGCAAAATGGGAATAAGGGTTTTTAATTTTTACGTAATTTTATATAGATCTGATGAACAAAATAATTGATCTATCAATATATTAATATACCAAAAAATGTTCCTTAATTTTAACATACATAAAAGAGTAAGGGTTTTTTATTCCTCTTTTTAACATGTAGCATTACAAAGAGACTTTTCTTTCTTTCTTTTTTATTTTTTACACACGAGCATCGTATTTTTGTTTTATTTTTAAAACATTTACTGATTTCTTTTTATCTCTCTTTACCTTATTTTTTTCTCAAAATTCCTGTACAATTTAATTTTATTTATGATATGTTGCTTCAAAATATTTTTTTTCCTTGCTTCACACATTAAAATAATTTATTTTGAATATATTCCTATATTTTTCTTTTCTGTTAAAAGCTTTTATGCAGTTTAAACTTTAATCATTTTTTTATGTGTTTCTTGAAACACTTTTTTTTATTACGATACTTACATATGCTTAACTACTATTTATATCATAAATAAAATTACTCTAATTTATCACCGTTTAAAGATATGTGTATTTACTTAAATATTTTTTTCCTTATAACTCTTTTAAATACTATTTTTTCATATGTATTCATAAATAATTTTTTCTAATTTAATCCATAAAAAATTATTTTCCTTTTAACTATGTTCTCCTTAATTTTTCTTTATTTATGTTTTTGCTAAACTAAACCTTAATACTAAGGGGTTATTCTTTTGCAATAAAACTCAGAAAAAGTTTGAACTCGAGTTACAACTTTATTCAAGTTCATGTTCTTTTGTAAAATTTGAGTTTGAACTCGAGTTCAGTTCCCCCTTCAACTTGAGTTCATAAACTCGAATTCAAGTTAATAAACTGTATTTTTTATATTCTTAAAAATGCCATAACTTTTTTGTTTTAATTCTGATTAAGATGATTTTTTTTCTATCCATTCACAACGAAAAAACGCATAAAACCCCACCCATATACCATATTAAAATTTTTCATCACCGTTGAGTTTTTATTAAAATACTATATAAATACAAATTTAAGTTTTGACTCACCCAAACACAAACTCAAAAAGATTCTCAACTCAAATTATAATTTAAATGTGCACATTCAAACACAAACTCAAGTTACAATTTCAACTCAAGTTATAACTCAAACTCAACTCAAGATCATTACTCAAGTTATCTCAACTAAAAAATGTAAAAGAACAACCCCTAAGTCAGTAAAAAGAATTGAAGAAATTTTTAAATCTTCATATCCAAAAAAAATTGAAAAGTCCGTTCACTTCACTGATTCGAGTTTGTAATTCGAGTTGAGATGTGATTTTATGTGAGAGCTTTTTACTGTAGCAAAAAAGTTAGATGTGATTGTTTGTGAGAACTTTTTACTGTAGCAAAACTCAAATTCTAAACTCGAATTGGTGAAGTGAACGGAGTCAAAAGAAAATAACACATTGAACGATACGTGCGTGATTTCAACTAGTAAAAACATAAAAACTATAATTCAATCGAAAATATATACCAAGAGAAAAAAAAAAAAAAGTAACACCAAAGACAAATGCCTCCCAAAATTTCAACTTTTTTTATTTTTATTTTGGCTAGACTATTATTTTATTTGATTTTTGCCCTTTGCACAAAAAGAAAGCCACCCAACCAATAGCATGGCACATCACCCCCCACAATCAAACATACAATATAATACCACAAAAAAACATAAAATATTTTTTCCATTTTCCAACCCTTTTTTATAAAGGCAACATAAGGAATTCTCGTTCACTTTACGGATTTGAGTTTTTAATTCGAGTTGAGATGTGACATTTTTTTAAAATTTTTCACTGTAGTAAAAAAAATTAAATGTGATATTTTCTGAGAATTTTTTACTATAAAAACTTAAAACTAAAAATTTAAATCGGTGAAATGAATGAGGCATATATATTTTCAATTTTTAATAACTACACACATATACACACACTACTAATCATTTTTCTTATAATAATAAAGAAAAAATTAATAATTAAAAAAAGGCATTTCAAGGTCACATCTCTCTTATTCTATATCTATCTATTCGTCCATCTTCTCTTTTAATAAATCTCAATTTTTGAAGCTCCAATCTACAATCATTATCCTCTTACCTAGGGTTCCTTTCTCTCTCTCTCTCTGTTTTTTTTTTTTTTTTTTTTTTTTTTTTTCCTGCAATTCCAAACCCTAGAAATTGAGGAAAAAAAATAAAGAAATCTCTGCGATGAATCATTGTACAGATCTTTTTTCTAGACAGTAACCCTAGAAATTTCAGCTGAGAAAAAAGGGTTTTTTTTTTTTTTTTTGTTACACTGTTAGGTTTAGCTTTAGTTGCTCAATTGCGAGGGTTTCGATTTTTCGTGGTTTGTTGTATTTTCTGTTTCGTCGTTGCTCGATTATTTGATTAGATTAGAGGCGTGTAGATAGATATGGAGGCGTTCGAGAGTGGGAGTCGTATTCAAGAGGCTCCCAATTCTCAGGATCTCAAGCAATTCGGAAACGATTCCACAGGTGATATTTCTTTCTTCTTTTTTCTGTTAGTTCTTCGATTTTTCACTTTTTTTCTTTCTTTCTCTGGATCTAGATTATAGTCGCTAATTCTCAAGAAAGTAGCATAATTATTGAATGAATTGATTCGAATATCGAGCAATTAATCAACTAAAGTTAAAGAGTTAGTTCGATGTATTTTTAGGAAAATTTTTGATTGTTTTCGATCGAAATAAGATTCGCCTTTGACTTCGCTTATTCCATGTTTGACTGTTTTCGGGCTTTGTTTAATTTGCTTTTACATATACATATACATATATGCGTATATATATTTATATATATTGAATCTGTTTTTTTGACATGCGTTGTTTATGCAGATACTGTATTTGATGCATCTCAATATGCGTTTTTCGGAAAAGATGTGTTGGAAGAAGTTGAGTTGGGAGGCTTAGAAGATGAAGAGGAGGATTTGCCTGCTGCTGGGTTTGAGGAGGAGGAGTTTCTTTATGATAAAGAAGAGGTTAAACACATTTTAAGCTCTTGGTGTTTTTATGTTTTATTTAGAATTTAAAGTGTTTGTTGTTTGAACTTCTGCAATATGTTTTGTTGTAATTCTTTTATAAGAAGTTTTTCTTTAGATTTTTGTTTATTGTAGCTTTTGTGTGTACATGTTTTCTTTCTCCAATTCTCTATCTCCTCCCCTTTGAATTTTTGGTTCACAAGATTTATTCATTGTGGGGATGCATTCTTATCTTATAAATTTGAATAAGAATGCGCTAGTACGAGAGTTATCTTCTAAATACAACTAACTGTTATTTTCTTATTTGTAGAATGCGGTTTTAAGGTCTCTATCCGATGTTGATGATTTGGCGAGTACATTTTCGAAGGTTAGTTCAAGGGGCACTAATAAGTTATTGCAGGCAGCGAATGATAACTTGAGATTTCTATATTGGGCTGATATAATGTGCATTGATAATCTGTTCCTAAATTAATGTTTTGTGTTGCGCATCGCCCAATATTTCCCATGGGAAGAACCCAAAGATAATATTTTCCCATTTTGGGGAATGCGTGAAGAAATGGTGGCGTGAACTTGAGCTGCCTGTTTAAGGCTTTCTAATAAAAGAAAAGTTTGAATTGGCAATTCTGCTCATTTTGTAGATTCAGTTGCTTATATCAAAATGGTATGTGCTCTTTTGGATGTTTCCATGTTCATGCATGTTCTAAAAGCTTGTTTGCTTGCTTGCAGGTTATGAGTGGACCAAGAAATACCGGAATAGTTGGTGATATTGGATCTAGACAAAGTAAGAACAACTTGTCTTAATGTATCTTCAATAACTATTTTATGTGTTTACAACACAAGCAACTGGGTGCTTTCATGTTATTTTCATGCATTTTCTTGGGTGATCCTTTAAGAATGTGTTTGGTACAAAAGATCTTGTATGACAAAAAAAAAAAAAAAAAAAAGAGGGGGTTGTAAATCCAAGTTTTGGTACAATACTTTATTGTGTGACATGTTTCATTTCAGACTCATCTGCTGCTGAATGGGCACAAGAAGAGTTTCCCAACGGAATCAACCATCATTTAGATTCTGATGGCATTCCAGAAGGTAAAAGGTGGTCTTCACAGCCTTTTTCTGCTGCCCGCCTTACAGAGTCAAAACCTTTGTACAGAACTTCGTCGTACCCTGAGCCGCAACAACAGCAGCAACCACAGCACACTCACTATTCCAGTGAACCAATTCCGGTGCCAAAATCATCTTTCCCTTCATATCCTTCACCAGGTGGCAGAACTCCGCAGGATTCACCAAACCACCACTCAGGTCACCTGAATATGCAATATCATGCTGGGGGACCCCATGGAGGATTGTCTTCACCGAACCTCCCTCCCTTCTCTAATTCGCAGGTTCCATTGGCTGGTTTAGCTCACGGATCACATTTTGGGGGAAATTTGCCTCAACTTCCTCCGTGTCTATCTGTTAATAACCGGTTGCCTAGCCAGTGGATCAACCAGCCTGGCATGTTTCCGGGAGATAATTCTGCCTTGTTAAATAGTATGATGCAGCCACAGTTGTCACATCAAAATGGTTTAATGCCTCCTCAATTGATGACTCAGCAGCATAGAATACACCCTACAGTTCAGCCATCGTTTAACCACTTATCAGGAATGCAGTCTCAACTATTTAATCCCCATCTTTCTCCATCCCCTCCTTTAATGAGCAAGTTTGATGCAATGCTTGGTCTTGGTGATCTTAGAGACCAAAAACCGAAGTCTTTTCAGAAAGGTAGACTGAATCTGCGTTATTCCCAGCTGGGTTTTGATACGAGTAATCAGAAGGGTGATGGTGGGTGGCCACCGTTTAGATCCAAGTACATGACAGCTGAGGAAATTGATGGTATTCTCCGAATGCAACTTGCTGCGACACACAGTAATGACCCGTATGTAGATGATTATTACCACCAGGCTAGTCTTGCGAAAAATTCTGCTGGAGCAAAGCTGAGACATCACTTTTGCCCAACTCACTTGAGGGAGCTTCCACCACGAGCACGTGCCAACAATGAACCACATGCTTTTCTTCAGGTTGATGCTCTTGGGAGGATTCCCTTCTCTTCAATTCGTAGGCCTCGTCCTCTTCTTGAAGTGGACTCTCCAAATTCATCTGGTCATGGCAGCACTGATCAGAAGGCTTCTGAAAAGCCCCTAGAACAGGAGCCTATGCTTGCTGCTAGAGTTGCAATTGAAGACGGGATCTGTCTTCTTCTTGATGTAGATGATATAGACCGTTTCCTGCAATTCAATCAGCTGCCTGATGGTGGAGTACACTACAAGCATAGGCGACAGGCGTTGCTGGAGGACCTTGCCGCATCACTTCAACTGGTTGATCCACTTGGAAAAAGTGGCGGCACAATTGGGCTTGTTCCGAAGGATGATCTTGTGTTCTTAAGGTTAGTTTCTCTACCTAAGGGAAGGAAGCTTCTTGCGAGGTATCTTCAGCTTCTTTTTCTAGATGGTGAGCTCATGCGTATAGTTTGCATGGCTATTTTCCGTCATTTGCGGTTCCTGTTTGGTTTTCTCCCCTCTGATCCTGGAGCAGCAGAAACCGCAAATAACCTTGCAAAAGTCGTTTCATCGTGCATTCAAGAAATGGATCTGGGTTCGCTTAGTGCCTGTCTTGCAGCAGTAGTTTGTTCATCAGAGCAGCCTCCACTTCGTCCTCTTGGCAGCTCTGCGGGAGATGGGGCTTCTCTTATTCTGAAATCAGTTCTTGAGCGGGCTACTGAACTCTTGACTGACCCTAATGCTGCTAGCAACTATAATATGCAAAACCGTGCTCTTTGGCAGGCTTCATTCGATGAATTTTTTGGTCTCTTAACCAAGTACTGCTCGAATAAATACGATAGTATCATGCAGTCCTTGCTCACGCAAGGTCCAACAAATACGGCGGTTATTGGAGCAGATGCAGCAAGAGCTATTAGTCGCGAAATGCCAGTTGAGCTCGTACGGGCAAGCCTTCCCCATACAGATGTCCGCCAGAGGCAGCTATTGTTGGATTTCACACAGCGGTCCATGTCTCTGGGTGCATCTAACACTCCCCCTGGCGGAAATGATGGCCGCATGAATTCCGAATCGGTGCTCAGTTGATGCGTGGCCTGTATGAATGTCTTCTGAGTGCAAAAAGTGATTGTTCCGGAACATGCGCATGCCACTTAATGCAGTGAAATTGTTTGCATTTCTTCTCTGCTTGTGCTTCTACTACTAGTCAATGGATAATTAGCAACACCGGACAGTAATAAAGTGGCAACTTCGGTGGCATAACATTGTTGGAGTAAGTTTAGTTCTTTAGATTTACATCGTTTTTGTCCCATATGACATGTTGATGGTTTGGGAAAACTAGTTAGCAGGCCTTGTCTTTTACCCTTTTTTTTTCCTTTTCTTTTTCTCAAAATCTTGTGCATTTTTTTTTCCTCTTTTCTGGAGCTTATTTTGATGCTCTGTTGTGGAATTCTTGGTATGGTAAGGGAGGGGGATATGTACAGATTTTCTAGAACAGTTGAGAATTCCCACATTCCTGTCCTATTATTAATGTCCAAGGATGTGGGGCCTGAGTTTCTGCTTCATCCAAAACGGGTCTTCTCTTCTTGTCTTTTATTTAGTAGCTAGCAAATGGCCATAGCCATAGGGCATGCAAAATGTAGGTTTTGTACGGTTGTAAGGTGTTTATAAAACATGATGATCATTGGGGAGGGCGTTGAACTGTTGGAAACAATATTCGTAGATGTTGTTGGTTTAGCTTCCAACTTTTTGTTCACAATCTGTGTTTTACTGAGTTCCTTTTGTTGTTTCGTGTACACGTCAAAAGCACAGTAATTGGGTGAAGTTTTTAGCCAAACATACTGGCTTGTTGTTGATGTTTTGTTTTAACAAGTTTCATGATTTGGTGTGTACTATGCAATGTTGTTTGTCTTTGCCAATAACAATGCTTTTCTTTGGCATTAGTCAAAGTATGGTTCAGCTAAAAAGGCAGACTTTTGGGCTGAAAAATTGTTTCCATTAATACAACATTTTTTTTTCTCAGTAGTTAGTTGGGGACTGACTATTGTGGTTGCGGTTTCTCATTTTCTTGGACTTCTGTGTACGTTATTTTCTATATATATATATATATATATATATATAGATATAGATATATATTGAACATTTTGAACTCAATTGAAAATGTGCCATGTTTAATATGAACAAATAATAATAATAATAAATTAATTAATTAATTAAAGAAAAAAAGAGCTTGTGAGGCCATGTTTTGTCAGTTAACAGCATGTGCTCGTCATTATCTCTGAACATGGAAACTAATAAAACAAAAAGGTCAATTTGGTTGGCTTGAATCTTGGCATAAAATGTTGATCACAAATTATGATTATTTATCTTCAAGTTTGGCAGCGAATATCTTAAAGACATTGCATTCTCAGGTTGGTTTGAAAATGAAGGGGAAAAGGGACAATCAAACAGTTGCATTTAGTAACACCCATGTGCAAATTCCATGTCAAATGCCTATGTCAAAGATACTAGATACTAAATTACGTAAAGCAAGGTGCCACAAAAAAATGTTACACACGTCTGAAACAATTTATAAAATGGAAGGCCAATGCTTTTAAGTAAGGAAAAAAAAAAAGAAAAAAAAAGTCGCTGCTGCTGCAAGAAACATTCTAAATCTAGGATTGTTACATTAATATAACTTCATACTAAGACCCAATTATATTGTTCTGTAAGCGTAAAAATAGAACTTAGTTTGATTGTGCATGCAAGAAAGCTTGCACCTTATAAAAATAAAAAAATAAAAAATAAAAAAAATAAAAAAAATAAAGAAAGAAAAAAAAAAGAAAGAAAGCTTGCACCTTCAAAATACTCAACATCTATGTGAAAACTTATGATATCAAGCAACTTCTTATTCTTTCCTTGAATAAGAAATATCTTTTGTGATTCCTGAATTTTGTCCATTCTTCTAGCTACTTTATGCATTCAAAATGCACAATTAACATTCTAACATTTTGCCTAGTGTCTTGAAATGCCTTTTGGCAATAAGAGAAAATCACATGATTTGTCGTGATTTTGTGAAGGATTATTATTTATACCATTCTACATAATTGAGACGTTTTGTTTTTTATTTATTAATTGAATGACAATTGTTTTTTTTTTTTCAAGTTGAATTGACATAAATAATATTTTCTTTTACTATCTTGACCGGTAATTCTGTTTTTTTTTTTTTTGGGCGATGACACAATTAAATTTGCGTTGAATTACATTTTTCATTGCTACAAGTCATACAAGTACAACAGGAAGAGTATATATCACATACTGTGCAGATTGGAAGAGTGTAAGCATTTGTATTTTAAGGGCAACCAAGTGAGGCATTTCATTGTGAAGGACCATTTTTAACCATACATCATTACATTACGCAGAAATTCACGGATGTCCACATCAACGAAGAATAAATTTTATTTTATTTTTCTGGAAGACTAATTAGACAAATTAAAAAGTTTTTTCTTTTGAAAGGTAATTAAAAGTAGTCAACAAAATTTAAAGATTTTAAATTTTTATAAGAGAAAATATTATAACAAAAAATTTAACTACAAAATAAACTGAATTTTTATCGAATTTGTGTCTGCCGTCAGGCCACTAGGCTTCATCTGAATGGTAAGTAAGGTCACTTTATATATATATATAGATATATATGTGTGTGTGTATGTGTATATATATACACTTCTTCTAGTAGATAAGGAAGAAACTAAGAAAGGTATCTTTGTCACAACTACAAAGTAGCATAAATATTCCAAGGAGAGGCTAAAATTCAAAGAAGAGTTTTCCTTCACTTCAGACTTCAACTATGGTCTCCCCAGAAGAACTCAGCCACTTCCAAACTCTCCCAAAACGCACCGTTCTCCACCGAGCCTCCTCTCTGATCGCCGACGGGTTTCTCTTCATCGTCGGCGCGTCTCTAGCACTTTTCTTGATCTGGGCACTCCTCTCCTTCACAAACCAAAACGACGTCGCACAAAGCTTCAACTCACAACTTCACACCGACCACCCACCACAGCTAATTTCCACCTTCTACGACGACGCAACTCTCAGCTACTCCATCCAAAACGACAATCCCATCAAGAACTGGGACGAGAAACGACAACAATGGCTGAGATATCATTATCAGTATCAAACCCACAATTCAAAGCCTCGAATTCTGTTGGTCACGGGGTCCCGACCGGCGGTTTGTAGTAACCCAGTGGGAGACCATTTGCTTCTGAGGTTGTTCAAGAACAAGGTCGATTATTGTCGTATCCATGGGATTGAGATTTTCTACAACAATGCTTTGTTGCATCCTAAGATGTTTGGTTTCTGGGCAAAGTACCCGGTTGTGAAAGCGGCGATGTTGGCTCACCCGGAAGTTGAGTGGATTTGGTGGGTCGATTCTGATGCTGTGTTTACTGACATGGAGTTCAAGCTTCCCTTGCAGAGGTACGTACGTACGGATCACTTAACTTAATTAATATTTTGATATTACATTGATATTAGTGATGCTAGATTTTCGAGTCACGCCATTTGGCTCCTGAGAGATGTTAAATAAAAGAGTATCAAGTCCCACATAACTCTATTTTATATGGAGCTGTTAGCAGTTGGGACAATAATTTTGAAAATTTTAGTTAAGTCGGCTAAATTATGTCGAGAACTAATTCCTAAGTTTCTCACTAATTTCATTTCTTTTTTGTCACTTTCGTGTTTCAATAATTATTACTAGTACATACACGGTTGGTAGTCAGAATAATTACTTGTGGTAGTACACAAATAAATAAAACAAAATTCTTGGTGATATTTTATAAAACTAGTATGCTATGTTATTTACAGGTAAGAGATCCTAGTTTCTTAGTCCAATTGCCATTATTCTTCTTCTTAGTGATTTTAATGATAATTTGCATGTACTAAATTAGGGGAATGATAGTTTTAGTTATGTCTACTAAATTATGTGGAGAACTAGTTTCTTTCTCTCTTAATATTATAAATTTGCAATTTCTCATATTATTTTGAGGGTTATGATATGCTTTCTTTTAGGTAAGAGAAACTACTTTCCTAGTTCAATTGAAATTTTTATGGTGTACACATCTCTATCAGTTACTAATTAATAGTAGCGACCAGTGCAATTTAGTTCAACATTTTATTCGTTCGAGTTTAATCATTTCGTCATGCTTTTAATTAGGTTTAAAACGAGTTGTTAATATTGACCTCCAAAATAAAAAGATCAAAGTAGTAGGACAGCTAGTTAGAGGACAACAAACAATGTAGCTGTAAAAACTGGATATGTTTTATTTGGTCATTAGGGCCTTTAAAGAGACATAGTAAATTTGTAGCCTCGTCATAAAGGATAAAAAATGGGCACTTATTAATTCTCATTTCGGTTCTCTGTAAAATCATGTATATACATATGTAGTTACAAAAAATACACTTTTGAATATGGGAGTTTCTCGGCAGGTCTTTCTACTGGTAGTATCAGTTTCTGACCGTCAAATCTAATCAAAATCACATCAAATTAAAAAAATATGCAGACAGTTTCTAATACAGACATAACAGCTAAAAAATAGAAAACTATTGATAGTTCATTTTTTTTTTGTCGTATCAGATAAACTCCCAAATTTATGAGATGAATTTATTAATGATTAGTAGCTTTCACATAATGTGAGCCATATGATTCTTTCAGGTACAGCAAGCACAACCTTGTTGTTCATGGCTGGTCACATGCTGTCTACAAGGAGCAGAGCTGGACGGGCCTAAACGCGGGCGTTTTCTTGATCAGGAACTGCCAGTGGTCCATGGACCTCATTGATGAATGGGCCAAAATGGGCCCACAGAGCCTAGAGTATGAAAAATGGGGAAAGACCCAGAAATTGGTTTTCAAAGACAAGTTGTACCCTGAGTCAGATGATCAATCAGGTTTGATATATCTTCTTTTGAAAGAGAATGAAAAATGGGGTGACAAGATTTACTTAGAAAGTGAGTACAACTTTGAAGGGTATTGGTTGGGAATGGTTGGTGGGCTTGATAACATCACCAAAGGGTACACAGAGATTGAGAAAAAAGTTGGGGTTTTGAGGAGAAGACATGCAGAGAAAATGAGTGAATATTATAGTGAAATTAGAGAGAATTATTCAAAGGGTGTGGAAAAAAGGCCATTTGTGATACACTTTACTGGGTGTGAGCCATGCACAGGGGATCATAACCCTGTGTACACTTGGGAAGCTTGTTGGAATGGAATGCAAAAGGCTTTGAACTTTGCAGATAATCAGGTGTTGCGCAGTTTCGGTTTTGTTCATCCGGACCTGCTCAATTCTTCTCTGGTGTCCCCTCTGCCGTTTGATTTTCCTCTAGATGGATGATTGTTTTGTTGGTCTACCTGTCCCAAGACAAAATGTGACAATGTGATGTGAGTTGTGGACAAGAATATAAATTTTGGATATAGTAGTTAGTAACAGTATATTAAGATGCATGAGTTTGGTTTTTCTGAAAACTCATTCCTTTTAACCTTCAGAACATTGTTAATAAGGCTTTAAGTTTAATTCAGAAATGTCTTGCTCGCTGCCGTAAGATTATCTGAGCACGTCACCCTCTGCTATCCAGCAAAAAGAAAAATAATACATGGTTGTTATACTTATAGGTGTGGCTGATGGCATATTGAAATTTCATACTGATAATATGGCTTTAGCAATTATTCACAAATATTCCACACAAAAAAAAAAAAAAATTATTCACAATAAACATTCTGACGAAAAAACTTTACAGCTGACTATTACTAATCTCTAGGCCTTAAATCAGCTATACACTCTGTTGACTATTACTATTAAGGCCTTCATTGGGCAACCATCAAAACTTCATATCTGTATGGACCTTGACTTGAGAGGAACTTTCTCAGACTAGTTTACTCATGGAATCAAATTTTAAGTTCTGTTACTACAAACATTTTTGTCATAAAAGGTTGGTGGCTCCTGCAGTTAAGATCATACAAAATTCACTTTTTTTTTTGTTAGTTATGTAAGCATTATGTTCAAAATAAAAATTATAAAACAAGCTTTATAAACCAAAACAAACGATAGAAGCTCATAAAACATCAAAAACTAGGCACTGTAATGTTGAATACCTGACTAGCCGCTTGAGCACTTGATAGGTTTTCCTCTACACAGTACTGAACCATACTGAATCCTCAAAATCATCTGAATAGTATGCCTATCTAGAGTGGTCTCTCTTGAGAAAGTTCGACAGAAGCAAAACGAATCCTATCAACTAGCACCTCATCCAGATCTCCAAGTTCACCAGATTCCCATAGTTCGCGAAAGAAAGGAGCCGCACAAATCACCGCAACCTCAACTAACTTCTCCACCGACAAATGAGCAGCAGTTTGCATTATTTTAACAGACAATTGTCCTGATGAGTCCAGACGAGATACAATCACATCTGAACATGCTTTTTGAACATTCTCTAGACACCAAAACTCAGTAAGCCAACAAAGCTCCACATATGGCTGTAGCTCATGCAGCTTCTCTTCAACGTTCATATTCTCCCACATGCATCCAGAGGGAGGATTTGGCAGCTTATCGGTATAAAACCACGCTACCAATTTAACCATTGCTTCCCAACTAATATCGACCTTCATAGATTTTGAATGGCTGCAACCACACAAATTAAAGTAAAAATGGGAACGCAGGTTAGAAAAGAACTAAAAACAAAAACAAAAGGGTAGCGTCTAACTTTCGTGCATAGTTTTCAGTGTATTAATACTTGGCTAGAGATACACAAGAATATTTTCAAAATATGGCAATATCTTCAAATGTGAAAAAAAAAAAAAAAAATGAAAGCACCTCTCCATCATTCCTGAGCAAAACAAACCGTGCAGATAATCACAACTTGACGCCAATATAACTTTGTGAACATGCACGTGTGGCACCAACACAGAGCAAAAATCACACGTCCAAACCAGGGTTTCATTTGCTTTAGCTTCCATGATGACATCCCTGAGAACCAGAAATACATAAGATTACAACTACACAACTTTGGAATAAATAAAATAATTGCATGAATATTGGATTTAAAGTTATGTTTTCAATAGTATCTAAATCCACTAAGCCAGCCAAATGAATTGGAGTTTCAAAAGATTCATAAGAGTGTAATAGGCAGCCTGAAGGCTATAATTTAGTGATAAATGTGGCTTAATGATTTTAATGGATTTAGTCACCAATCATCATTCAAGGAAAACATCCTTCATAAAGAACCAAGAGGCAGTCAGATAATTTGATGACTCCATAATAGGTGTTCCTAGTGAAGCTCTTACCACATAATGAAGATTGTATATACGACTGAGAATGACAGAGAAAGAAGGGGGGAAAAAAAAAGATTTTCATGAAGATAACTAGGAAGGAGAATAACATACGAAAAACGGTGTCCAACTGGACCAAGTGCTAGAGAAAGATCATAGCTAGGAAACGGAGTGCCCCACTTTGGAACTTTGCAGCAAAGCATTTGCAAAAGAGGCTGAAGATTACAACGTTTAGCAAGTGTTTTCAATTTCTTCACGAGTTCTTCTTCGGCTTGTAGATATCCAAAGTACACAAAATCCAACAACCTTGACAATGCCTGGTGATCAACATGAGAAGATAATCGGATTTCTTTCTGAAACCTGTCACCCATTCCCATGGAGCTCGGCACTGATGAACCATTTGTTTCTTCACTAATATGGAACTCTTCAAAAGGCAGCAATGATGGACATCGAATGGCCAAAATAACACCATGAACACTCAAACAGTCTCCATTTGCGAGGATGAGTCTTATATCTTTATGATCCTCCTCACTAAGTGCTTTGCCAATCCTGTTCCCAAGTTTACTCGGAAAACCATACAATCCAAGAGCACTAAGAGCAAAGGTAGCAAACCACCGTACTCCGGGAGCAGATGTGTTAATGCAAATCTCCCAAAGATTGTTCAGTAATTCTGGTACACTATACCTCATCCCACCAGAAGATACATGTAAGTTATTACTTATGTGTGGTGTAGAATGCTTGATCAACTCACCTAGGCCCCACAAAATATAAAGCACGATAATGTCTTCGCCCTCCCAGTCTTCCAAAGAAACAAGGCAACAAGTACGCCCAAGGAGCGAATTATGCAAATATAACGTGGATCCCAGACTGCCCTCATTAACACCATTACTTAAACACCACGTTAAAAGAGTAAATAAAGTTCTTACCCCTGAAAGTTCAAGAACCTGCACTCGAAACTCTGGCAAACCTATATAACATGCCAAAGCCATCACATAACTCATGATTTGTAGTCTATCAAAATTGTTTCTCGATGGTATATTTTTTAGTGTAGACAGCAAGTGTTTCAAAATGTGCCCTCTATTTGGTCTCAATACTTCAGACAGTACGAATCTTATTTTTGATGCAATGTATGTGCAGGGAGAATGAATCATCAACAAAACAGCCCTTATCACTGATTCCCTTTGCAAGTCATGAGTGATCCATTTCTGAATTGTATCCACAAAGGCCACGCTGCCATAATATAAAGATAAATCAGCAAAATATAAAGATAAATCAGCAAAAAAATAAGCAGCATCTATGGAAAATAGTTCAATGTAAAATTACTAGAAAGCAACATATTCAGGCCCCCCATAATATAAAGATAAATCAGCAAAATATAAAGATAAATCAGCAAAAAATAAGCAGCATCTATGGAAAATAGTTCAATGTAAAATTACTAGAAAGCAACATATTCAGGCCCTGAAGTAAATAAAACCTATTTATGTACAGCATAAGAAAGAAAGAACAAGCAACTTTCAAGGATGAGACAGTCGAGCCTACCAAGCACATGTAATGAGCATGTCAATGGAGAGCTTTTTTTTATGTCTCTCAGAGTGGAAATCTTCCTCCCAATGTGTAGCAAGACATCCAAGAATATCCCAAATATGATCCCTCACAACAAGAGAATAATTGGAATTGAGACTCTCCCTTGCAATCGATATCTGCCCTTTTAGCGACAATGAATTGTCATGTAGTTGGTTATGAAAATTTTCCAGGAGAAGATCAAGGAGGACCTTATCAATCCCATATCTCCAGAACAATTTGTGATGTTTGCCTCCCCAACGAGTAATTAGAGCCAAGATACGTGCCTCTACTATCAAAGATATCTGATCATTGCTAACCTTTCTTGACTTCATCCGCCATTCACTAATCCCGGAAATTAAAGCTCGAATAAAAGGTTCACAACAGAAGCTTAACATTTTGAAAGCCCTCTGTGCATTTAGCTGAAAAAAAAAATGAAGGTAGTTCGATTAATGCATTACTTGTACAATTACTATTATTGTAAAGAAAGAGAACACATTACTATCATTACCGCTAAGCCTTGGGCAAGCTTGAATCCTTCCACTCGAACGGAATGAGGCTGCGAACTGTCCATGCATTGCACCATTGCTTCTAGAAGGCCTTCTCCATTTTGAAGAAGTTTCATGGCTCCACTATCGCATAAAGCTGGTAAAGATAAAACAGAAATTTATTTGCTTCATCAACATATAGTTTATTTGCTTCATCAACATATAGGTTGATGATTATAACTTACAAGGAAAGGAAGAGACAGTGGGGTGAAAAGGTTTACCACAACAATTAAGTACCTATGGCAGAAAGCAATCTCAAAACTTCCACTTTCACAAAAGAATCTGAATCCCAATTTGCAAGTGCATCATACAAAGTTTGCAACAAGAGAGCATCACTCCACACAGAAAATCTAGATGGCGGCCATCTCAGTAGTACTTTACTCAACAGCAAAACCATCTGTTGGAAATATTCAATTGGCTTTGCACCTCTAGAGAAAGACCGTATGTTATTAATAGCCTGACTAACGCTTTCCGTTCTCTTCACAACATCCCAAACTTCTTTTTCGTTCGCAATGGTTCTATTTGGGAGAGCAATTGTTAAAGCCTTTGCACATGCTGTAGCAATGTCTGTTTGACGGTGGGATATCAAGGATGACAAAGGACTAACCAAATCCAACACATGAGATTCCATAATTGAGGAAGGTAAGGTGCTAACCAATTTTAGTGTCGCATTTGTTGCCATGCTCAATAAGGCCTCATTTTTGCACTCAAGAGTGCATACCAATGCTTCAACTATATCAGGGACGGAATTCTGAAAATGGAAAAGTGAAGCCAATGTGAAGATAACAAAATACATAACAAGCATAGAAGAAGTAAATACTAGAAAAATATCGGTACAGTTAAATACCTTAAAAAGTGGATTGTGCAACACAACTCCAGAAACGGAATCAAGATATGCAGAGATCAAGCGAACCACCTGTTTTTGTATCTGAATATCTGTGCACTGCCATTTTCTACCCGGCCTTTCTTGAGGCCTACAATAGTAATATCAATATGGTCGTTTAGCCTTGAACATAACTACTCCAAAATATATCTTTACTCAATTCAACACTACAAATTTGATTCCAACCATGAGGGCTCTGCCAAGAGCAATATTTCTTATATAAACACTAATGGCCAGTTTGGGAGGTATACTCAAACTATGATTCTTGATGTTTGAAATTTAAATTTTTTGTGGGACAGAATCAATAATTTGAGTTTTAGTATATGAAACAAACGGACCTTAATTCTATTATTTTAAGTGATATTAAGTAGTACCCAATTGAGAAAAAGATTAGTTCTTTAAGCACTATAACTCAACTAATCAAATATGAACTCCAAATATCTGGGGTTTTTCTAATTCAAGATAATTTTCAATCAACGTCTTCTTCAAGAAAACCATGCAAAAAAAGGGAACTTTCAAACACATTATATTGCCATAGCGATGAAAAAACCCCAAAAATAAACTTCTTTCGTCAATCCCTAATAAACCGACATCCAAATTGATCTCATATGGGTTTAGGCCGTACAAGTTGATTTGTAGCACAATGGAAAGAGGCCATTGAAAAGGAAAACAACAAATTAAAAAAAAAACAAAAAAACAAAGAAAAGGTCTCAACTTGAAGGGAAAATTTATGAGAGAGACCTTCGGGTTCCCAAATTGAGAGCTTGTTGGAGACGAAGATGGAGATTGCGAGTGTGATCGGTGATGCTCTGCTTGTTGTCTGGTCCGCGTTTGGACGATCCCATTTTCCTGCTTTCTTTCTTTTTTTGGACAGAAAGAAGATCAATCAAAACTTTTTTTTCCCCACTGTGTTATCTCTGCGTTAATCCCAAATATTTAGCGGCAAAGAGAAACCGCCATAGCCAACATCCTCCCAGCTTGTCTCGAGAGTTTACTCTTTCTTTTCTCGGAAGGAAAGAGTAATTTTAATTATTAGTTTCTTAAGCAACTTTATTTTATTTTATTTTTGAACCAAGGATAGAGTTTTTTTTTTTTTTTTTAAATAATAGATAGCAACCACTTATTTAATTATTTATTTATTTATTTAGTTTTGGGAGAGTTTTATTTATTATTTTATACTTTAGTGTATGGTTAATGGCAAAGTGCACTTTCTTTAGAAAAAAATAATATCAAAAAAAGAAAAAAGTCATGATGCCTTGTAAAGCCATATCTCTTTTCCAAAAAAATAAAAAAACAAATAAAGTGACGACTCAAGCGGGAGAGCGAGAGAGACAAAGTGACAAATGCGAACGGATCGCACAAATAGAAAACGACGACAAAAAATGACAAGAAAATGTAAACGACGCCAAATAAACTAACAATGAAAGAAATCGATAGTGGAAACTAGAAAGGATGTAAATGACAGCAAAGTGAAAAAACAAAATAAATTGAAAAAACGATGGCTAAAAATACGAGTAACAGTAATCATGAAAACAACAAGAAAAACGAAGAATTACAAAATGACGCACCAATAAACACATAATTTGGTACCTACAGTTATATGGAAACATCTTAATGTTACTTTTTTTTAATAATATTAAGGATCTGTTTAGTTCATTAATTTAAGTTTTTAATTTGAATTAATGTGACTTTATGTGAGAGTTTTTTACTGTAGTAAAAAAAAGTTAGATATAATTGTTTCTGAGAGCTTTTTACTATAACAAAACTCGAATCGGTGAAATGAACGGGGCCTAAGTAGGTATCTTTGAGTTTTAAAAAACATCTTCTGAATACACTAAGGCCCCGTTCATTTCGTTGATTCGAGTTTAGAATTCGAGTTTTGCTACAGTAAAAAGCTCTCACAAACAATCATATCTAACTTTTTTGCTACAGTAAAAAGCTCTCACATAAAATCACATCTCAACTCGAATTAAAAACTCGAATCAGCGAACTAAACGGACCCTAAGATTGTTTTTTAGGACATAAATATGCTTTCTACCCCTCTATCTAATTAATTAGAGCATATTTAAAAAAGTTGTAACAATAATTTAAACATTTAAAAATGTAAAAAGAAAATCAAAAGGTTTATATTTTTATAATGTTCTAAACATGTTTTTTAAATACTTTTTGTAAAGTTTTAAAATCCTAATTTTATTAATTAATTAAAAGGGCAAAATGGTTATTTTACATCTCAAAAACCGCTCAAGGAACCCACAGTATGTTTTCTAAAATTTGAATGGAGCTATTACTAAAAACACACGATATTTTGAGATGTTAAGAGATAATAAATGATATTAAAATGATTTTATCCCATAAAAATGATATAATATAACGGTTTTAATGATTATGTACTTTAATATTTACCCGATAGTTAACTGGGTAGTTAACTAAAAAGAACGTATGATAATTTATGAGATTGAATTCTTAATCACACAACACCATAATAATTCTATATTTGAGGGGCAATCACATATAGAAACGTAATCCGAAACAATACGAGTAAATAAATGACCATCATTAAGAAAGTATAATAAACGACAAATAATTGTATTTATTTGTTTCTGTTTTACCTAGTTAGTTTCCAAGTTTAGTTTTCTATTTATTTGAATCTTAGGACATACTATCTTGATTTGTATCATATTCATTAACCAATGACAATGAAGCCAGAAACAACTTTTCCTATTAAGAAGGATGATCTTCTTCTTATGAACTTTAAGTCTGTTTGGGAAAGCATGGAAGAGTTTTACAGGCTATGCCTCACCTCATAAAATCTATTGGTGTTAGTAAGTTCTCTTGTGTTCAGATAGTTTTCATCTAATAGTTTTCATGCCCAATTGTTTTTTCCCTCTTGTTTATTAATTGAGATTTTATTTTTGCATTGACTTGCTATCTTATCATAAATTTGATCCCACTTTGGCAGCAGAAGAAATTAAGGACCCGTTTAATTCACTGATTCGAGTTGATATGTGACTTTATGTGAAAGCTTTTTATTGTAACAAATAAGTTAGATGTGACTGTTTCTGAGAGTTTTTTACTGTAACAAAACTCGAATCGGTGAAATAAACTAGACCTAAGAGAGTCATGTGAAGAAAAATTAAGAATATCACTCGAGCCATATTCTCCTTAATTTCCACATGTGAGGAAAAATAAATTCTTGAAAAAGGATATGAATTGATTTCCACATACGCTTCATAATCTTTTGGACTTGAATAAATAAAGACTACTCTACTAAATAAATCTTTTATCTTTTACATCATTATAAAAGAAGAATAAGTTTCGTTAGCTGCCTCAAAGCTAACGATAACGAAACTATAAACCGAAACCTCCATCCTTTTCCAAGCTAATCAATTTTCATTTATTCCCTAACCAAATATGGACTCCAAATGTCTGCGGTTTGTCGGTGTTGAAAAAATGGTTTGAAAATCCTTTTCTTCATGGTACCATTTTGAGGTTCGATTTTAAACAGAACTTACTTACTTTGTGTTAATGACTATACAATTTAGAATTATATTTTTCGTAGTGAAAAGATCGAAATGATATATTTATATGCTCAAAATAATGAATAGGTAAATGAAAAATTGACTCTCAAAGTGCTTCTGTGAAGTTGGAAAAAAATGAAAGAAAAACTCCCAAGAAAGTGGGAAAAAAGTGGAAAAACTCTTTGTTTCACATCGGAAAGAAGACGAAATTATGATTTCCTCGAAGCGTTATAAAAGAGACTCACTCCTTAGTTGTGACACACATCAGAATTTTGGAGTCCTCTTTTCTCCTTAGAATTTCAAGATAAGTTTCAAGCAAAATTCTTCTACTAACAACAATAGAATATGATATCCCTTGACGCACGCGAATCATATAAAAGAAAGAAAGACAACAATAGAATATGATATCACTTAAATGGGTCTCACCACGATTCTTAATCAGCCAATTAAAACACGACACGTGACAGTGACAATTATATCGACAACTTGTTATCAACATCTGATTTACTGCATTGTAATTCACGTGAACTCATTTTTTTTACAAATACTATTCGAACACATGGTAAACTAAAATGATGAACCATTTATACAAAGACACGCATATATAGTACACCCAATTAAAACTGGACAAGTAGCGCAAAAAAAAGATAAAATAACTTATTAAATAAAATTATAAATAGTTTTCTTGTGTTTAGATAAATAGTAATTTGTACATAGATGAATAGTAAGTGCATTCCCTAGATTATATAATCAAACTTTTCTTTTACGAAAAGAATAGTCAAATTAAAAGAAACGTGGAGAAAAAGAAAGGCTTAAATGTCGTAAATATTTAAAACCAAAGGGGTTTAAAGAAATAAACCAATCGGACAATGAAAAGAGCGAGCAATTAAGACCAGAGGCGTTTGTAAGAAAGGACCGAAGCAATAAGAAAACATCAAAGCAACTTCAATTTAATTGTTTTCATCATTTCAAAACCAACAAAAACAAAATCAAATTCTCTTTAATGGCTTCTCAAGAAGGAAACTGTCGGCGATCTCTGATCCCAAGCTTCATCTACTCTTCTTCTTTTTCTTCTTCTTCTTCTTCTTCGTCGTCTTCTTCGAAGCTGTTTGGTTTGGATGCTCTGGCGCCGACGAAAACGACGTCGGATAGGGTGGTGATTCCGGCGCCGAGTGAGAAGATCGAGATGTACTCGCCGGTGTTCTACGCCGCGTGTTTTACCGGAGGTGGTCTGAGCACTGGGCTCACGCACATGGCCGTCACGCCTCTTGATCTCGTCAAGTGTAACATGCAGGTCTGTCTTTCTCTTTTGTTTCCCTTCAATTTCATGGTTTAGTTTTGTTTTCTTCAATCCATTAATGCTAAATCTTGTTTTATTATATCGCTAAAAAGAATAAAATCATTTTGGTAACGTGTAATTAAATTGATGTCTTGTATTTTTAATAATATTAAAATGATATTCTTAAGTTTTAGAAAACATTTTTTTAATACACTAAACCTATTTTTTCAGACATAAATTGTCCAATTTGCCTTTTAATAATGTTGGACTAGTCTGAATTTCTATTTAACAAAAAGTAACACCTAAAAATACTCGTAAACTTGTAACAAACACAACTCCTACATATTGCTAAATGATGTTATTTTTTTGGGCAACCCATTTTATAAGGTATAAACAAAGCAGAAGCTAGCTAAAATGTGCCTATGGAGAGAAAAAATGAAATTCTTGGGTAAATTTATCATTTCCCAATGCACAAAAAAAAAACCAAAAGCTATTATTCTTCTCGAAGTGGGAATTTGATGATATTTTAGGGCTTATTTATTTTACCGATTTAAATTTTTAATTTTAAATTTTTATAATATAAAATTCTTAAAAAATATTATATTAAATTTTTTTATTATAATAAAAAACTTTTAAAAAATATCACATCTCAACTTAAATAAAAAACTCAAATTCCTTAAGTAAACGGACCTTAATCACGCTTTTTGTGGCCGTCCATTTGATTGAATTGGTATGAATCTGATTAGACTCCCCACAAGTTCGGAAGCAAATTCGTAACTCCCTTTAAATTTGGTAACTTTTTGACTTTCAAGAAAGGCGGCTTGTTGTCTTAGTTCATTATTTCTTTTGTCCTTTTCTCTATTGGAATGAGATCACTTGGCTAATTTTGGTATATAAAATTAATATAGCTAAATTATGTCATGTCATTAAAAGATTTAAATAAATTTTTAATTAATTTTATGTTTTAGCGTGAGAAAATGTAATTAATTAGACATTATTTTAGGACATTAATATTGTAGAGGAAATTTGAATCCTTTGGAAAGTGTGTTAATAACTGGCATTATTGTTGTTAAACATAGATTGACCCGGCTAAGTACAAGAGCGTGAGCTCTGGATTTGGGGTCTTGCTTAAAGAGCAGGGGATTAAGGGCTTCTTTAGAGGCTGGGTACCCACATTGCTTGGCTACAGCGCTCAAGGAGCCTGCAAGTTTGGCTTCTATGAGTTCTTCAAGAAGTACTATTCCGACATTGCGGGGCCCGAGTACGCGGCTAAGTACAAGACGTTGATCTATCTTGCGGGTTCAGCGTCGGCTGAGTCCATTGCTGTTGTTGCCCTCTGCCCCATGGAGGCTGTGAAAGTCCGTGTCCAAACTCAGCCTGGCTTTGCCAGAGGCTTGTCTGATGGGCTGCCAAAGTTTGTCAAGTCTGAAGGCGCTCTCGGGTAATGATTTTGGTGATTGGAAATGTTGTTTATGAAACTTTTTTTAAGTTTCTGAGATTGATGATGGTTTTTTTGCAGGTTGTACAAAGGGCTTGTTCCTCTTTGGGGTCGTCAGATTCCTTGTAAGTTTGAATCTTTTCGGTTCCTTTACCGCTTTTCTACTAAGGCCGGTAATATGAGTCACAACACGATGACATGACTCAAAAATGATAAGAATTTTACGTGTTAGGATTGAGAAAAAAGAGGTTCGGGTCAGAATTAGGTTGACTTGAAATTGACACGAAAAACATGAGTCAATTTCAGGTTGGACCCGCCTACGCTTTTCTACTAAGGCCGGTAATATGAGTCACAACACGATGACATGACTCGAAAATGATAAGAATTTTGCGTGTTAGGATTGAGAAAAAAGAGGTTCGAGTCAGAATTAGGTTGACTTGAAATTGACACGAAAAACATGAGTCAATTTCAGGTTGGACCCGCCTATCCGAACACGACACGAAACTCGTAAAAAATTAAAAAATACATATATTTTTCATTTCATATTTTAAATTTTATTATGAACTTGTGATATCATGATAATTATACTCAAAATCTTATACTATTATTTGTTTAATTTCAATGGATATTATTGAAATTTAGTGTGTTATGAATTTTAAGTTATTTATAATATGTAAAAAATTAAATAAAAGTATACAATTTTCGTGTCAATTTTAGATTCACGGGACAATTTCGTGTCACGGGTCATTTTCGGCTCGTGTCGTGTCAACTCGTAAAATGGTCGTGTCGTGTTCGTGTTGCGATTTTTAAAAAATTTCGTGTCACGGGTCGTATTTAGGTTGATTGTAAATTTAAAAAGAAACGATCAAAACACGACACGAATACGACACGTGACACGAATTGTCACCCGTATTTTCTACGATGTATTATTATGTTGACTTGACTAGAAAGCAATGTACTGATGAGTTATGGCCTAGTAGTTATATTTCTGTAATGCCTGAAAAGGCTAGGGCTTTGTTTTTTTCACAGATTTAAGTTTTTAATTCGAGCTGAGATATGATATTTTTTGAAAGCTTTTAATTGCAGTAGAAAAAGTTAGATTTGACATTTTCTGAGAGCTTTTAACTGTAAAAATTTAGAACTAAAAACTCAAATCGGTAAAATGAACGAGACCTAAATGATTCTTATTGCATGTTGAAGACGAGTTTTGGTCAGGAATTAGCCTTCTTTAGATTGTCACCTATCCTTTGGATTTGTTGAGTGTTGGGTTAGAGTTGCAGCTTAAGTATTTTTATTTTTTGTGTCCTATTTTTCTGGTCACTTGTGCTGTGTCAATCAACTTGCACTTTGCCTTATTTTGGCATGAAAATATCTGCAATTCCCTTTAGTAATGCCCGGTTTCTCATTCGTCCCATTTTGTTTTTCTCGCCAGATACAATGATGAAATTTGCGTCCTTTGAGACTATAGTTGAACTGATGTACAAGTATGTAATACCAACACCTAAAGACCAGTGCAGCAAAAGCTTCCAGCTCGGTGTGAGCTTTGCCATGGGCTATGTGGCTGGGGTATTTTGCGCTGTTGTCTCGCACCCTGCTGACAACTTGGTGTCATTTCTCAACAATGCCAAAGGAACAACCGTTGGTGATGTGAGTTGAATTTTTCCTAGAAACTCCATATATATATATATATATATATATATATGTACACACGCACACACACACACACACACACATATTATACGACATAATTTGTTTTTCCATCTAAAGCTCACTTGCTTTCTTCTGTTGTAAATAATGTCTTGCAGGCCGTGAAGCAGCTAGGATCGTGGGGTCTGTTCACCCGTGGTCTTCCTCTTCGTATAGTAATGGTTGGAACACTTACTGGAGTTCAATGGGGTCTCTACGATTCCTTTAAGGTTTTTGTTGGGCTGTAAGTTTCCCCTCTTTGCCTTTGCACCAGCTCTCTATTGGCCTCCTCTTGTCCCATGTTTTCTGTATTGTCTGTTCTATCGAGTGCTTCCTGAATTCTATAGACTGCTTTGCTTTTGTTCTCGCGGAATTCAATGTATGACGCGGGAATTTCATTTTGTAGGCCAACTACTGGTGGTGCTGCTCCTGATCCCGCTGCAATTGCGCCTGCGAAGCACTGAGCTTAAAATCAAACGGTTGTCTAATTCGAATATTTTTGGCTGTAAGAATTTTGGTGTCAATAAATGAATTGGGTTATGATTGATCTCTTAACACGAATTGACACGATTAACTATACGTGTCATCTGTAATCTAATGATACGTTATGAAAGTTTATATAACATATTAAATACAAATAATGTGAATATTAATAGTTGTAGGTAAAATTCATTTATTTTTTTTAAAGAAAAAGATAAATTGACTAATAAATATGTTTGACATGTCTTGACCATGTTAAATAAATTATTATTATATTAATTATTTATTCGATATATTAATTTAAACGAATTGACATGATTAACACGATCATAAATAGATCGTGTTTGGGTTGACATTTTGACACGTTTAATAAATAGGTCGTGTTTGAATTGATATTTTCTAACACGATTAATAAACAGGTTGATATGAACACGACCCATTAACACGAATTGCCAGGAGATGAACTACTTCGGATAACTTAATGTTCAGCAGTCTTGTTAATGCATCGATAACTTCCGATCCCACAAAGTTATCATATCATCTATCGCATGCAGAGATCAAGCAAGCATTATAAAGGTTGAGGTGAAGAAAGGGAAAAATTCTACATTTTGCTTATTCTAAAAAATATAATGAATTTGCTTTTCCTTTTTTTGTCGTTTTGCCTTCAGAACAACTACTCAGTATGATCATTAGTTAATTTAAGAGGGTACACAGTATCGAACACAATCCTCGCAAAAACGTGCCGAACTTCTTGCAGGGATCCCATGGCTAACGACTTGTAATCAATCTTGCTACCTTGCTTTGACGCAAATCCCTGTGCTCCACAATCTCTAACACACTCGAAGACTCTGCAAACTCTCAAATATAATCCAAGTGGAATCAATACCTGCATTTTGAAATTCACTCGAAAAGGTCAGGCATTGCTGAACTGCTTCCCAATTGGGGAAAAGGGAAAGGGAAAAGCAATGTACTCACCAAATCAGAAAAGGGTGCTTTGGGATACTCTGCCATTGCCTGAGAAACAACTTGCTCATCGGTCATGCGATAGAGTGCGCACTTAACGCAGTCTGCAAGATCCATGACCTCGTCTATTAGTTCTTGAGATTCCAAACTCTCAGGTTCTAGCAATTCATGAAAGCTAGCATCGTGAGGCGATGTGATCCTTCTGGCTATTTGTACTGCTTCTGCAACGTCACCGCCATTGTGAAGTGCAAGGCTGAAGGCTGCAACTACCAAGGGATCCTGGGGCTGGTCAAACAATGCTTTGTGGAATGCCAAGATTGCAACCCTGAAAGCATAAACCCAGTATAAGTCTAACATGGTCAGGGCTTTAACTTTCAATGCGCATTCACGTATTTCCAACTTTTAATTATGTCCAAATGCGGAAAACGGCAAGGCCTTGGAAATTAGCCTCTAGTTTAGATGTGTTGAATTTGGGAGACGTTTGTTTCTTATATTCGTCTCTGATTCTGAATCATGATTCATGGTTCTCTACAGTGTTTTTTCTCACAAAAAATACACGTAAAACGAGAATGGTTCTGAATCGTGATTCTGAATACATGAACCAAACATTCTCTTAATGAATTTACTTGTCCAAACAAAGAATCAGCACTAAACCTCTGTATGTAATCAATCTAGCAGTCACAAACAATATACACAACGGACCCCACGGATCGAATATCACGCAAGTGCAAGTGATTTCAATTTAAGAATTTGCTTGTTTGATATCTAGTCTTTAAATGAATCAGAATATGAAAAAAATAATGCTTCATTCAAAAGATCTTACCATAAGCTGCTATGGCATGGCTTGTCAGGTGCCAAAAGTTTATCCATGTTAGAAAACAGAGACTGCATTGAAACACCATAATATTGAAGTTAATTTTTGTGCAGCTCCTGAACCCCTTTATACTTATAAGAGCACATGACCAGAACAACATAATATTCTCTTCAGCAAAGGGGACAAAATTAATAACATTATTACTTTAAACAAGCGTACAATGAATAATTAGTAAGCTGTATATTAATTACCAAAAGCATGTTAGATCTTTCGTCACGTCTCCGGAAACCACAGCGAATAAAATATGCTGCCTGTAATTTTCATCCAAATTAATTTTACATTGACCATGTTTAATACGTAACTAAGAAACTCAAACCCCATACAATACCTGGACTGGTAGAAGTATTTCTAGGAGTCCAAATTTCCATAATAACCTCAAAGAAGCTTCAGCGGAGCCATATGCTAGCAAGTAGTTAGCTTCCATCAGAAGCCTTCCCTAAATCAGTTTGGAAACAGCGAATAAATCATTTAGGAAAGTTTCATACATATCAAATCATGGACAAAATAAAGGCCAAGCCAGCTTTAACCACCTTGTCGAGTTTTGCCACTGAGCCAGATAAAACTTTTACAGAATGAGCTGTTTCCCTAGAAAGACGAAATCCCAAACGAGCTGCAATCCTTATTGCACGAAGAATGCGAGCTGCATTGAAAATGGAGACACATTAGCTTTGTAAACTGAGAGTACCAGTCATTGTGGATGAGGTGTGTCAACTGATATCTCATTCCAAATAACTCTATCATTGTTCGTAGGAATTCCAAAAAAAAAAAAAGGAAAAAAGAAATTGCAAAAAATAACCATAACGCACCACAGTCCTCCTGAAACGAAATGCTTGCAGGAATCACTGTTCGCACCTATGCCAATAGAAGATGATGTGAGAACAATGAAAGTTTCCGGCTAGTTACTTAAGAAACCACAACTGCTAAATAATACATGCGCACTTTAGCCTTTTTTAGATCTTCAATTCCTCCCAAGTAGTCATACACTGTACTCGTATAAGGATCAAAAATTAAACTGCACAGGAAAAAAAAAACAAATTTAGGAATTAGAAAACAAAGTATAGGAAAGCTGCAGTGCCATGTAAGTGGTAAAAGAAAAAGCCCAGAAAGTGAAATCAACCTAAAGAAAATGAACTTCCAAGTTACAAGGACCGTATAATCAACCTGTTAATTGTAAAGTCCCGTCGCAGACAATCCCTCCAACGTCCATAATCCTTCTCGTCATAAACAGTAGGTTTTACGAAATCATGATGCACATCCCCACCAACCATGTTCTGGCGGGTGCTAAAGCTTGAAACCTATATGCAGATTATGCAAGTTTGGTTAAATATAAAAACAAAAGAAAACTTAGCCATAACCAATTAAAACAAAATACAGTTTTAAAACAAATTGAAAACAGCAAACCTCCACAATGCTATCTTCAACGTGGACATGACATATAGGAAATCTCTTTCCAACTATTTCACACCACGAAAACGCTTTTTTTACCTGCCAATATAGGTCAAAGTTAACACAGCTGGGAAGTTCCACCCTGACATTTTACTCTTAAGAGAAATTTAAGATTCACATACACGACTTTATGTGCCTACACTTTCACTCTCACCGAGTCACTGCAAGCATTTGATTCATTGTTATAATTAAGCTAATTTTAGACACAGAGCACCACAGAGGGAGGAAAAAAGAGCCATATTAACCAGAATAACGTTAGGTTAGAAATTGATGGTAACCTCCTTCAGTTGAGCTGAAGTTATTATGTCAAAGTCCTTTGGTGTGCGTTTTAAGAGAAGATCCCGGACACAACCTCCTACGAGGTAAACCTCATAACCTACAAGAAGCAAGCAAAATAATAACATTAGATTAAACAAAGCGTTCTCACTTCTAAACCAATAAACTATTATTCTACAAAAGAATTTATTATCCATTGATTCCCACGCAAGCCGCGCGGCCTATTAATTCCATTTCCACAAAATCCTCATGAAGCACCGTGAAAAGAAAAGAATGACTTGGTAAAAAGCATTATAGGAGTTATTCCTGTTTTCAACCACTTACAAGGATCGAAGGATGAAAATCTAAGTTTAATCCTTTCTGTATCTTTGTCACCATCAAAAGCAATGCAATGTTTTCCATGGAATTTTTTCCTATTCATTAGAATTCCACGTACATATAGTAGTTATATAATGGGGATAAAAAACAAAAAAGAATACCTTTTTGCTTGAGACTATTAAGAACCTTCCTTGTAGGCTTGGTGATATTAGAAGTGCTAATTCCAAGCTCCTTGGAATTCAACTTCTTCCACTCGCGTACTTGACCATCTCCTACACTTCAATCAAAAAAACATTATGCACATTATTCCAAAGAAGAAAAATACAAATAATAAAAGTTGGAAAATAAAAAGAACTTGCCTACTTCATGAACCAACTTATGCGAATTATTCTCTCCTGCAACCCAAATATAACGTTTTTTCAATTAAAAATCCAATCTTTCTTCAACTATTCCAGAGAAAAAAAAAAAAGAGAAAAGCACAAGAAAAAAAAAAGAAGTTTACTTGCCTCCTTTATGAACTAAATTGTGAGAATTATTTTCATCTGCACCCCAAAAATAACAAAAAAAAAATATTGTTTAGCTATTTCAAAAGGAAAAAAACAAAAAACAAAAAAAAAAGAAACTTGCCTCTTTCGTGAACCAGATTACGAAAATTATTGTCCCCGGAAAGATCTTCTGCCTCCTCAAAAGCTTCAATGGCCGCGACTGAGTATGGCCAAGCCTGCAAAATCAATCAAAAGAAATGGTTCAGAGATTCGCATAAACAAATATACAGAAAAAACAATGTATAAATGAAGGACTTTTATAGGAAATTGCCTTGCGAACACATTGAAAGATAGGGTTGCGGAGAGAGATTTTCGATCGGCAGGTAAAAACTGAGCGCCTAACCGCCATGGATGTGGTTGTGGTATTGGTACTGATTCATCAAGTACACTATCTGGTTTTTGTGACGAAGAGCTTAAACCCTACAAGAAGGAAACATTCCCAAATTTAAGGGTTTAGGGGTTTTCATTCTTTTCATGTTCAATTTTTTTTTGTTCCACAAAAAAAAAAAATGTTGTCGTTTCACAGTTGTTGTCGTTTCTGATATCTGTCGTTTTTACCTCTCATAGTCATTTTTGTCGTTTTTCCTATTTATGTCGTTTCTGGTGTCTGTCGTTTAAAATAATTGTCGTTATCCAGTCCATATTTTCTTTTCACCCGTTTTGGCGTGTTGGCGTTTTGAGGCCTTTGTTCTCGTTTCTTTTGCTCCTTCGTTTTGCAACCATTGTCAGTTTCTCATTACGCTTTCGTCCATTCCCGTTGTTTATTGTAATCCTAACGTTTTCTCCGTACATTTTTGTTTATATTTTATGTGGTCATTTTTTGTTGTCGTTTCATAATTGTTGTAGTTTTTGTTACTGTTTTTTTTAATACATTGTCGTTTATCAGATTCAGTCGTTTTTCCATACATTAATTAGAATTTAGGTAAGACATGATGTGTAGTGACCAAGGAAAAAATCCCATAATTTTAATAATGTAATTCATGTATTTAAGTCAAGGATTTCCCTAAAGAATTTCCCTGGAAAATCATTATACTATGTACATTTTGTGATTGAAGGATTTATGGAATTAACATCTATATTCCTAAATTCTGTAGCAGATTTCACGTTAAGTTCACGTTTTTTTTTCGATCAAGTAAATTCGATCGATAAATTCTCACCGTACTTTAAAATGGAAGAATTTCTAGTACAGATACAACTTGAGAACCTTAATTTTAAGAATTTCTAAGCACAATACAAACTAGCATCCAGTACCCGCATACAGGAGAAAATAGTTGTCAGTATAATTTTGGACAGTTTAATGAGTAAATTTAGAAAGTAGACAAAGGTACAAGGGTTAGGTTTCATTTTTCTCTTTCCTTCCTTCACTTGGCCGGCCAAA